GGCATATAGTCTATTTATTCGATCCATCCATGACAAAGTATTATCAAATTTAACATTGGGCAATTCATACCCAAAAACATCATGTAAAATATCACATTTTCATTCATGATCAATGCATTTTATTTCATACTCTGACATCTCAATGTCAATTTATAAAAATGATATAAAATCATGCCGATATAAACAAGGTCGACTTATCGCAAGTCTTCCTGATGATGTATAAAACATCCATGTATAATTTCATGCATGTATTGCACTCACCTTGACACTTTATGTCTTTCAAAATATTTGTGCCTCACTATTGTCCACAATATACCCTTTTTATACTTGACTTGCTTCAATTGCAAATCAACCATGATCTGTATAAATCATCAATTCATAATAATCCATATGTTAGTATTTTACTAACATAAATACATTCCATCATATCTCCATACTATATTTGAAATTCATCATCTATCAAATATTTAACTCTTAATAATTATAACATTGGAACCAACTTTTCCCATTTACTCAAATGGTCTTCACCATTTTACCTCTTAAATCTTAATACCAATAATTCCAACATTGAAATTATTTCCATTCAAATGCTTTTACAAAAGCATAAATACATTTAAGTACCCCAACTATGCAATTGTTGTACTTAAATCACCAATCATTTCAATCTTCCCAAAATAATCAATTTCACATTTAACACTCTTTTCAATTCTCAAACAACAATTCCAGCATAGTACATCAATTATACAACACTTATATAATAACCCATCAATTTTCCAGAATTCAGACAACTCGTACTACCCTTAAAGAATCATTATTCTGTATTGATATAGACACTGGAATTCAATTCCGTTTCTTCTGTTAAAAACTAGACTCGAATACAAATCTATCCATATAAAGAACTCCTTCTAATTCATTCTGTACAATTTATGGTGAATTTTCAAAGTTCACCAATAGAATCTGTTTTGTACAGAATTCTGCTGTCCGACTTTTTTGCCCTTTCCTCGGTTAAAAATTCATATATATTTGTATATAACTTGAAATTGATCCCCGTTTGTTTTAAACAAAACTAGATCCATATATGAACACAATATATAAAATTCACCTCCAAATTATTTTTATATATTTTATGGTGAATTTTCGAACCAACTGTAATTCCAAATCTAAACTGTTTTTCTTTAACCTCATCCTTATGTTCTTCATCAATTCATACAACCTCAAAATCATCAATATCATCATCAATTTAACAACCATAGTATAAACCCAAATTTCCAGATTTGGGGATTTTGAAATCAAGCAAGATAATCATGCAATATTGGTACCAAAAGATAGTGTTTTTCGCATATAACGATTTTCTACTTACAACATACTCAAAATCCCAAATAAATTGCTTGAAAAATTGAGTTGAAAATTTTCTCTTACCTTAAGAGAAACCCACGGCTTGGAGAAGAAGATGAGCTGAAAAATGATTCCCCATCATAATACTCTAATATTAAATAAGTCAAGCACATGTCTTATAATAGAATTATTTTATTCAATTCAATAGGAAATTCTATTTTTGCCCTTAATGAATTTCCATATTCACCATATAACCTAGCAATCTGATCAATACCATATTTCAAAGTCAAACATAATTAATTTTGACTTTTAATTTTGAATTTCACCTTGAATTTTCAAATCTTGCGTTTTAGTCACTAAATTCCACTGTTTCGGTTAAATCTGAAAAATTGCACATTTCCAAACCAACTTTCTCTGATCTAAAATATTAAAATAATATTTCCAACCATTTTATAACATCCTTCAATTTTTTGTAAAATTCCAATTCGATCGGAATTTACCGATTCCTTACCGGCTTTAACTCTTTCTTTACTAAATTCCAAATCCAACAATATGATTTCCATAAAACTCCAATCTCAAGAGTAAACCATATTTATGGAATAAAATTCTTTTTAGGAAATTATCACTTAATTCCCTAAACTTTTCCCAAATTTTCTACTTTGACCCTCAAACTTTCCAAATTTTCATTTTGGCCATTGTCTAAATTTTTGGGGTATTACATAGGGATTTAGAAATATCGGGCAAAATGAAGAAAAAAGGGGAGAAATTTTCTTATCTTTAGATTTTGGGCAAATCACTCTAAGGTCCCAGCCCTTTAGCGTGTTTTGCGTTTGGATCACTAAATAGTGGGTTTATTACGTATAAGTCATTTGACTTTAGGAATCCCATGGTATTCTGGTCACTAATTTAAGGTTAAATCACGTAGAGATATTTTCTGTTTAGCATGTTTCACGTTTTAGTCATTAGATTTAGGGTCAAATAACCCCCAAGTCCCCTTAGTCTAGTCGTGTTTTCATATTATGGTAACTAGGTGCATTTTTTTATTTTGAACTCTATATTTTATTTGGTTTTAATTTAGTCATTAAACTGCCATGTTTTTTATTTGAATTTAGTTACTGCTTTTTTACATTTATTCATTTTCAGTCTCTACTTGTGTTCTGTTATTATTTTATTATGATTTTGATGTGGTATTTGTATTTTTCATGTTTTAGTCACTGTTTTATTTATGATTTGTTCACTTTTTTATATTTTATTATGTTTTAATCCTTTAATTTCCAGCTTTATTTATTGTTGTTTTGGACTACATATTTCGTTTTATTTTAATTATGTCACTATAATTATTATTTGATTTTAACTATGCCTTTTGTAATTAGTTTTTAATTTGGTTATATTATGTCTATTAATTGCCTTTAATTTATTTGATTTGCCTTTTAATTTAGTTTAATTTCAATCCTTTAATTTTATTACTTTAATTTTAGTTTTTTATTATTTCTGTCCTTCATTTTTAATACTTTAATTTTAGTCTTTTGATTAGTATATTTTATTATCTGTTTATTTTATTTTAATCCCATGAGTATATATATGCATGTTTTATATTTTATTATATTAAATGCCTTATTTTGCTATCTTGCATTTTGATCCTTATGTTATTTATGATTTTATTTTATTTAAGCACTTATATTTGTGTGATACGTATTTTTTTTATTATTTTCTTTTTATTTTGTTTATATTTTTATCACTCAAGTTTAAACTTTCATCATCTAACATGATTAATTAAATTAGTTCAATTGGCTTAATTTTTTTCTTTGGTCGAATCAAATTATTTTAATCTCGAATTCTTGGGAGAAAATATAAAATTTTTTTATTTCAGTTGGAATGAGAAATATTCATCCTAAAGTATTTTAGGGATTATTTTCTCTTCGATTGGAAATATTTGAATATTTTTTATTTCTCCTTAGAATCATTCGTTCAATAAAAATTTCATGGTTGAATTTGGAATAATGGGATCATAAATTAAATTTGTATTTGAATTTTTAGATTTCCACTATTAGAGACAATTTATAATCGACGGGGTACCAATTTTGGGCGTTGCGAGGGTGCTTATCCTTCCCCACATGTAATCGATCCCTAAACCCCTTTTTTATTACAAAAAAAATGAATCTCTAGTTACATGTAGATTAGTGAATCTTTTAAAATGATGTTTTCTTAAAAACTCTTTTAGAATGCGGTTTATAGGTATTCGACCTACTTAACCCAAAAGGTCAATGACGACTCCAAAACATTTCAAAACCTCTGAAAGAAAAACCTTAAGTCGTATTAAGTTTTTCCCCGCCCGGACGAAAAACGGTGTCGACAGGAATATAATTTCGAAAAAGATCATTCCCCTTGGTAGTGATCTTTTTCGCGAACCAAACGCCACCTAAATATTTTTCAAATCCATTAGATTTGCAAACCTTTAAGGACGAGATGCAATCTTACAAAGACACATAAGATTTATACCCAAAACCTTACTTACACACTCTCCCAAAGAGAAATTATAAATCCCTTAACGTGAATAACTAAGATATTGCATGTAGACTTGATTTAAAAATCGAACCACCTAAATCGTTGTGCAAAGTTTTTATTTTTCGATTGCTTCCACTACAAAATTTTCATAGACCAATTCATCCCCTATTAACAGTTTTCGGTTGATCGATAAAGCTAATAAATCCAAACTTATTATTTTAAAAGTATTTATATTGTTTTTAATTTAACATTTATACGTTTTCTTCTTATTAAAATTCAAACATAAACCATTAAACTCGTTGTTTAATGTTTACACTATAATATATTATATATATTTAATTTATACATAATATAAATTACATAAGATATAGAAATAATATTATAAAAATTTGAAAAAACAAATTGGTTTTTTGAATGTTTAATATGATTAAGTGATCTCAATGATAAAAGAATGTTATTTGGTGATTTTAGACTAGAATAACAATGTTTATAGGATGTGTACACATTATCAATTAATTAAGAAAATTATGAACAAACACTATCATGTAGGGGTGAGCGTTCGATCGAGTCAAGTCGAGTTAAAAAATTTTGAGTTATTTGAATTGACAAATCCTATTTATAACCATATATATAATATAAATATATTTCTTCATATTTTTTATACATGATATAAATATATTATACAAAGTCTAATGATTTGGGTTGTATTTTACGACTCGATTTGAATTTAAATTTTTTCGAGACGAGTCGAATTTATGAAATTACAATTCGAAGTCAATTTAAGCAGAAAATTTTGATTTTTTGAGTCGGATAGTTTTACTTACCCTGCTATCATTATCATACTATTAAAAAATATGTTTAATTTAATCTACACGACATCGCTCTTGTGGAAAACCAGAGAGTTTAATAGAATCAGATCCAACGTTCAAAAACACTTCATATTCACACCTATGAATTCTACCCGTTAGATTAATCGTTTGAACATGAGCTGTCGGATCCCTATCTCACACAAATCTCCACCATCCAATTGACTAAAATGAAATTGAAATTTCAAAAACTAAGCAAGAGAGAGGGAGGAGAAACGAAGAAGAGAAGAAGAAACAGCTAACCAAACACAGTATTTTTAAAAAAAGGTTCCTTTCACACCTTTGCTTCTCTTTTTCCATTATTGAAAAATCACTGCTTTACAAACCCTAACTCTTACTGTTTCTCTCTGTACTGTTTTCTAGATTCTCTCTCTCTCTCTCTCTCAATGCATCGATCGGATTCTGAATCTTCTCGATGTTTCGGAAGTTCGTGGTGGAAATCTCGAGCTTGGGGGAATCGCCTTTATTTTAGTAATTCGGGGCTTTTGAGATTATAGATTGAGATTTGGACCTAAAAGTTTGTGAATTTGAGCTGATTTAAGGTAATTTCTGAGATTATCTGGTGGATATTTGAGCCGAGGCTGTGTGGTGAATATACAGTTTTATATATTTTTTTGAAATTGGGTTGGAATTGGATGGGGGAAGAAGAAGGAGGTGAAATCCCGCCAAAAAATGTGCAATTGGATACGGCGTATTTTCCTGCGAAGAAGCTAGCAAGGCAGCTCGATTTCACGGCCGGTTTTGGCGGGGTTTCTTCTGGAGGTGTTAATTTGCCGGAACATCCGCAATCCACCCAAAGGATAGCTGTGCCTTCGTCTTCGGCTGCAGTTACTGTGCAGCAACAGCAACAGATAAAGCCGCCCGTGGTGGCAACAACCTCTGTTGTCGCTGCACAACCTCCTCCTTTTACTACTGCCTCGGCCAGAGCTGCGTAAGCTTTTCCGATTAAAATTGTTGCTTCTCTTGTAGTTTGTTGTAATTATTATTACTTTTTCGGTGTTTGCTATTTGGATTAGTCCGTGTTTAACAAAATTTAATTTCGTGTTTCTTTTCCTTGTCGAGAGTGTAGCTTATAAGGAACTATTGGTTACAGTATCCCCACATTTCCTGTCCTGTTTGACATTTTATTTTCTTATGCTTAAACACTAACTCTGTTGTCTCAGTAATGTTTGCATCAAATTCTGTTTTTCCCCTCTGTACGATTGTAGGAAAGTTGGTGATTTTTGCTTTAACAGAGTAGTGGAGTTTCTTTTGGGATGTGACTATTTGGAGGTTATTTGGTGTTTTTGTATCTGTCTCTCCTTTAAATTAACTTCTTTTCCCTTTGATTTCTCACCAAACATTGTTTTTGAATTCAGATATGAATCAATTGATTTTTTGGGAAATTGGTTTTCTCTTAGCTTTATCTTTCACCTTATATAGCTTCTGTAGAGGGTTTCTTTTGATAGGGTGAGAAAATTGTGCAAACCAGTAATATAAAATGCTGGGAGAGATTTTGAAGAGGAAAGGAAAAAGTAGATTTTGAAGAACAAATGCAGATAATTAAGGAAAGAAAAAAGTAGGTTAGAATATTTTAGAGAGAAAGTTGCATTCCAAATGAAAAGAAATGGTTAAGAAGGAGGCTTCTTAACAATCTTCACTTCAGAGGCACTCCAGAAAATCCCAATGGTGAAGTAAACCCAAAAATCCTGCCACTGATTTCAGGGTTAACTTCACTGCTCTTTCTGCTGTAGTTATGTACCACACTACATAATTTTTTTATGTTGCTACTCTACTCGGGAATGAAATGTTGCAGTATTTTAAGAGCGGAGTGCTAGAGCACTGCATTGTAGCCCTGAAGCAGCAAACCCTTGGTGCACTAGAGACCTAGAATGCTAGAGCAGTGGAGTGTTGAAACACTGAGGCCTGAGAGTGTTGAAGTACTGAAGTGCTGGAGGAGTGAAGCGTTGGAGCTCTGGAGTGCTAGGGTACTGGAATCTTTTTTAATGTTGGAGCACTGGAGGGTTGGGTCGGTCACTGCCATTCACGATCATTGGAGCAAAAATTGTTTCCATGAGGGAGCATTGCTACCTGTACTTTCTGTCTAACTCAGTGATCCTGCATGACATGTTAACAACTAAAATTAAGTATCGACAGCTTCTTAGGCTCTGTACTGATTGTTTTCCGTTATTTCTGTCTAGAATCTAGTGTAGTGCTAGGATGTGAATATTGTTTTTCTTGGACATTACCATATTGGTCATGTTCCCCCTTTCTTACCTTTTAATTGGAATGAAACTTGTCTTATACTCCTTCAGTTAATCTTTCTGTTCTTACACCCTTACCGATAATGTGTTTGACATTTATGGAAGTTAATTTATGAAAGCTTAAATGGTTTAAACAACTGCAGGAGTTAATGGTTCAAAGAACAGCAGGATTGCTTTTAAAATATATCAGTTCTTTTTTAAAAAAAAATTAATATGCAAGTTATTTACCTGTCCTCTACCGTTATTCTTTTTCTTTATTTCTTGCTGACTTCAGGAAACCAGAATCCCCAAAAGCAAAACCGAGACCAAACGAACTAAAAGATGGCACTCCAAAGAAGCAGAAGCAGTGTAACTGTAAACATTCTCGGTGTCTGAAACTGTAAGTACATTGACTTTTATGCTCTTTTGGAATAATGAACTCCTCCACGATTCAGTGCTACTCAGCTCTTGATGTCTTATTAACATCTGTTGTTATTATTTTGCTTGTTGGCTAGTAACAAATTTCTTGGACTTGTCTGCATTGGGCTCTTTTAGCATGAAATTATATATTCTGTATTAAATGTTTCATGTTCTAGATAAGAAACAGGTTTTCTTCCTTACATGCAATTTTTATGTAAACCATTATTGCCTGGACATTTTAGACAGTACTGTTGCAGTATTTGTTTTCTCTTATTCATTCTTGTGTAGGATTTTTTCTGTTAGCCGTTTTGTATGCGAACCATAATCAATTTGTTTGATGGTATAAGATATAGAAAGTTATTATGCAATGCTGCGACTAGGTACTGTGAGTGCTTTGCATCTGGCATATATTGTGATGGATGCAACTGTGTTAATTGTTATAACAATGTTGAGAATGAAACCGCAAGACGAGATGCTATTGAAGCAACTTTGGAGCGCAATCCAAATGCATTCAGACCAAAAATTGCAAGCAGCCCGCATGGCACACAGGATAGCAGGGTATGATGACTGAACTTTTTATTTCATTTTAATTCACATTTTACCTTGCTCATTTTGCACAATATTGATTCAATAGAAAGCCGTAAATTTTTTAGCTAATTTTTATCATGGAGATACCAATGTTCATATGCCTTCATTAAAATGTCCAGCAAGGGTAATATTTTTCGTTGCCTTTGCTCATTGATGGGCGTTTGGAATATATCGAACCTTTTAAAATGGTATTCTCTTATTTAAATGTATGGCTACTCATTTTATTTTTGCATACAGTTGAAATCTTTTTTTTTCCTGAATCTGGTTATATTCTTGCAAAGGAAACGATCCAAGGGTGAGTAATACACTTTCAAGTTTCAACTAAATCTAAGCTTAATATTTATTCTATTCATTTTTCCTTTTTAATTAACTTTCATTTATATTCGTTAATTTAAAATCGTTATATAGATTTAGTTGGAAGTGTATTACTTAGTTGTGGAAATTTTCACTACCTTTAAGTAGTGGTAAGGAGAGGATCGTTTCCCTCTTGAAAAATTATATTAACAAAATATAAAATTCAAAGTGTACCATGAATGTCGCTATATGATAGAGGTTGCTAAATTTGCATTCTCATATTAATTAGTATTGAATTATTTTTAGGAAGAGGTGGGGGAAGTTTTAATTTTGGGAAAGCACAACAAAGGATGCCACTGTAAGAAATCTGGGTGCCTTAAAAAGTATTGTGAGTGCTTCCAAGCCAACATTCTTTGCTCTGAAAACTGTAAATGCCTGGAGTGCAAAAATTTTGAGGGAAGTGAAGAGAGACAAGCTCTATTTCATGGTGATCATGCCAACAGTATGGCATATATTCAGCGGGCAGCAAATGCTACCATAACTGGAGCTATTGGGTCCTCTGGTTATGCATCCACTCCCGTGTCCAAAAAGAGAAAAGGTCAGGAGTTCTTTGGGTCAACTGCCAAGGATCCAGCTGTTCCAAGGCTTGGAAGCTTTCCTCAGGTAAAACATCTTATCCATGAATATTTATTGACAAATGTATTGGAAGAAACTTTTTTATTTTGTTTCATTTACACTTTACCGTGCCAGCTAGTTCTTCTCTTGTTTCAGTATTCTTACTTCACTTGTCACCATAAAAGCTTTCACAAATTTACTTTTAGCTATGCTCTTAGAACTTACGTTTGCTACTTTTATTTGTTAATTAGCCACATCATATCAGAGCTTCTGCACCTTCCTCTTCCATGTCTTCACCAGTTTCTCGCGCTAGTACAGCTGCTGCAGTAGGACCTTCAAAATTTACATATAGGTAAATGGAGAGTCTTGATCAAAAGATATTTTTAGCCTGATTGTTCAGGAAACTAACTTATGGATTTTGGTGGAAGGTCTCTGTTAGCTGACATTATTCAAAAGCAGGACTTGAAAGAGCTTTGCTCTGTTTTGGTAGTTCTATCAGGAGAAGCTCCCAAAACACTATCAGGTAAATGGGAGACATTCAGATAACTGTCATTATCAGATTTAAAGAGCTGAATTTTAGACCTAAATTGAGTGAGAACCATGTTATAAAGCATTTTAGATTTATCTTTTAGTAAATAAGTCCAAGTTATCCGACTGTGATCATCAATGAAAGTCATAAACTACTTACAATTATCAGTATTCTTCACCCGAGAAGGGCCCCAAATATCACTGTAGATCAAAGCAAAAGGGTGAGAAGGTTTGTATGTAGAAGGAGAATAAGATGATCTAGTATGTTCTTATCAAAAAAAAAAGATGATCTAGTATGTTTGGAAAGAGAGCAAACTTTGCAAGAAAAAGAATTTGGCCTTTTATTAATGAATGGAGCAGGAAACACTTTTGCAAGATAGTGGAAACTAGGATGTCCTAAACGATAATACCATAACAATAACATTATCAACTTTTTCTAAAGAGGTGAAAAATTTCAAGATCTTGGTTGTAGTAGAGGCAGGGAGAATATAGAGACCATTCTGCAAGCTGGCCTTACCAATCATCTTCTTCGAGTTCAGTGCCTGCAAAGTACAATCAATATCAGTAAAAGTTGTATAGCAGTGCAGGTCGGTGGAAAGTTTACTAATTGAAACGAGATTGCAAGCCATATTTGGTACAAAGAGGACATTTTTAAGTGCAATTTGTTCATAATAGTGTCATGTCCTTCTATTTTTCACAATGAACCATCAGCTGTTTTGACATCTTTACCAAAGTTTGGAAAAAAATTGCAAAACAAATCCTTGTTACCAGTCATATGATCCATAGCACCATAATCGAGGATCCAATTAGGAGTCAACTGGGAGGAGAAAAAAGCTATAGCATAAGGGTTACCTTCTGGTTCTTTCATGACTAGATTGTCCTCACAAGGCCCCTTGCCATTTAATCGATGGCAGATGATAGCCAGACCAGATGAATCTGATTGAGAGCATCAGAACCAGAAAGATTTTCTAGATTTGAAGTGATCTTCGGAGTAGGAGAAGAAGTCGTGGACATAGTCTAGGTTGGAAAGAAATCGTAACCTAATCTGATACCATGTAGAAATCAGAGTAATTCTCTGTATTTTCTTATTATTTCAATAGGACATATTGCATCTTTATATACAAATTATATCTCTAAATTAGGAAACTCCAAGTAAGGAAAGATACTAATCCTAGGAGATATGATCCCTTAAAATAAGGGATTTATAGAAAACTATTTACATAATCCCTTAACTGAAGGGATGGTAACAATTCATATCTCTATAATTCCTACAATGATGATCAACTTGATATGCCATTGCATTCATCTCTCGCAGTTCATAGAAACAAATTTTATTTCCTTCTTTCAAATGAATACGTAGTATCAGCGTTTAAGTTTAGAGTTTAGACTTCTTTTGTCAATGAATAATGTATTAAAGCAGTTTTAAATACTGGCATTGATGCCGTTTCCATAAATATTCTTGTACATTAGACTGTTCTTGCTCGTACTTGTAAGAAATTATAGTTGGACGCATGATGCCACTAAAAGAATTTCTTTTATGTCAGTTTTGAATTTGTTTTTAGCAATTAACTTTTGAGTGAGTCTGAGTAGGTTAACGGATTTTCCTTTAATATATTTAATGGTGTTCCTTCAATTTCTGCACACATTCAGATCAGAGAATTTTGACCGAACATCGGATAGAAGATCATGCAGAAACTTCCATTGCATCATCCACTCAAGACAGGCTTCAGAGCCAGAAGGATGCCAATGCCGAGAAAACCATGGCTGATAAAGCTGGCCCTGAAGAAATCAGCTCGGGTGGTGTTGATATGCCAAAGGGAAGGCCCATGTCTCCGGGAACTTTGGCATTGATGTGTGATGAACAAGATACAATGTTCATGGCCACTGCTTCTCCTAATAGGAGCATGGGCCATGGCTGCAGCACATCTTCAAAATTGTCTTTTGGACAGGGCATGACTGAGATTTATGCTGAGCAGGAAAGAATTGTTTTGACAAAGTTCCGAGATTGTCTCAATAGGCTTATCACTTTCGGAGAGATAAAAGGCAAGTTTCCATTTCCCTATTCTGAAAATTTTTATTCATAACTAATTATATTGTGCATATAAAAAAAGAACAACTCAGATGACGAAACCATCCCCAACTTTCTAAAACTGAGTAATACATCATGGAGAGACAGAGTGGCAGAAAGTGAAGAACTTCAATTTATATGTCATCTGCTTTATCGTGTATCATCTTTTCCGTAATGCATAAACTATTGGGAATTCACATTGCTGCTCTATTTTGATCACAGAAATGCAATGTTCGTCATTAGCAAGAACAGACATTGGTAGTCAAAGAGGTCCCCCAAGCAACGGAACTGAAATGGCCAGAACCGAGATGGGGAATCAACAAGGATCCGTTACCAATGGAGCTGCAAAAAATGTCAGTCTACCCACGGTCAAGACATCTCGGATGGCTGCTGTGGTGGTCAACGCCGGCAATAATGATCTGCCTAGAGGTCCATCCCATCCTGAAAATGGGGATGCTAAATCAAAAACCGGAAAAACAGATGTAAAGATCCTAAATGCCGACAATCAGTCCAATGTATGATACCACAGTTTCTCTGCACTAATGCGAGTTTGCGACCCACCATTCACACCACCTCCCCGATTTGATGCAATATCAAAGTGATTGTGGACATCTTGACACTGACCAGTGCTTGAATTAATCTCTCCCATGTTTTAATTATTATGTCTTAATGGCCATGCCCTCTCATTAATCCATTCTTAGTTTTAGCAAAAGCATAGAGGAATTTTATAATTCTTGATGAAGTTGGTAGCTTAGAGTTGTATCCAACAGCGATGCTGATTGCTGCTGTAATTGGCGAGTCACGGTCTTGTAGTATTCATGCGATTCGCCTCAACCATTGATGTTCTTAATGTTTATATGTATATTATTTCTTCATTGAAATAAAATATTTTTAAGATCTTTCTTATAATACTATGGCTGCATATATATGTGCATGTGCATGGTCCCCTTGTTGATGTATATACTTGTTTTCTTCCAAAGCATTGAGTCTGTTTTGTATGTCTATTTTGTTCATTAGAATTCTTCTACTGTCATTTAATACTTTTTGAGACAATTTGATATATATATATATAGGATGAATCTGAATGGATAGAAGAAGTTAAAATTTTATTATTTCATTTTCGGTGGAAACTACAAACGAACAAAGATAATGTTAATGCACAAAGTTTTAATTTCAGCTATCTAGTTAGATTCTTTCAATAATTATATTTTCATGGAAAACTAATAAATTTTCATGTAATCATTGGATGCATCGTTTTTCTTTGATACTAGCCCATTTTGTTTTCCCGTATATTATTTCAGGTTTTTATTATTTTTAGAGTACTGTATATATTATGTATAATATAATTATACACCGATTATATTACGTATATATCTTAAAACTATTAATTAAGTTAAATAACTTAATTAAACTATTGTATTGTATGTCTATTATACGCAAATAACAATAGTAAGGTAAAAGAAGATCAAAAAAATAATTTAAAATATTATATCGATGGGTACAAATCTATACAAACCGATATTGGTTGATATTAATCTAAATGAGTAGGAAACAAACTTAAACAACTGAAACACACCAAAACTGTAAATGAAAATAGACATAATCAAAACTAGTGCGTATCAGTTTAAGACTGATTAATACGATAGTAAGTACTATTGTATTATTACAATTCACAACGTTATGTTTTTTTTTGTTTTTTGTTTTACTTAGACGTGTCAAGTAGCTGAATGACTGCCGCGTCTACTTTATTATTAGCCTTAAAGCCTCCACTTTGATGGTGTAGATGAAGTTGGCGTTGCACTCTGCAAATATACAAAGGGTGAGCACGTCAATATCTCATCTCATCTTTACTTGTTTGGTTTAATAATTGAAGGTTCTATGATAACATTATCGATGTAACTTCAATATTGATTCCCAAGCTTTTGAATATTCTAATTTTGTCCTCAAACTTTTGAATGATTTAAGGGGAAGTCTCTGGAATGTTCAAAAGTTTGGAGGTTAATTTAGGATGAGAGTCATAGTTTGGGATGAAGTTGGAATGTTCAAAAGTTTAAGGATTAATTCAAAATAAAAGTCATAATTTGGGGATAAATTTAAAATATTTAAAAGTTTAAGGATTAATTTAAAATGAAAATCATAATTTGAGTATGTATAATGCAATTAGCTCTGTAATTTATAAATTGGATGATCGACCTCTGGGTAATGGAAACTAGAAACTAGAAACAAGAAAGGGATAAAGTTGTTACCAATGGGATGCCCTTGATGGCTCTTTCTTCCAAATACTTTTAAGGTTTATAGAAGCTACCGTACATTTCTGACCATTTCTTTAGACTTTCATACACATGCTTTGCTCCAACTGTATCTGCCCAAAACATAGTTTTCAGAATTGGATCGGTTAGTAAACCGGTCATGCTATTGATTTATTAGTTCAATCGGTTAAATCAGTTCGACCGGTCGGAAGAATCAGACGACGTTATAATTATTAAAAAAATTAAATAAAAATACTAAAAATATTTAATAAAAAATATTTTTTATATCACAAATCATATTCAAAACAAATCATAACATATATAAGTTAAAAACCATAAAATCAAGTGAAACAAAATGATTCAAATTAACTACAACATAATATTTAAGGTAAAACATATTAAATAATAAATATAATTATACAACTATAATTAAAAAATAAATTTGGGGCTAAAAAATCATAACAAAATGATATTGTTTGGTTTAATTTTTTTTAAAAACAATCTCACATAGCTAAGAAACATAGAAGAACATCCCAAAAGTATAAAGAGTAAAAATATAAGAACAAAACAATCTCACATGGCTAAGAAACATAGAGGAGCATCCCAATTAACTTCTATAAATAATAGAGGTAATTTGACATTCAAAATCATGGAGCCTTTTGGTGAGCATTGAGTGAACTATTCTTTCACTTTAATCAAACTTGAATTTTAGGCTTCAATCGAGCTTCTAAATTTTTTTTAGTTCAAGCAATTTCGAGTTCAAGTTTCAATATTATATTTCGAGTTCGAGTTGAACTTGATAATTTTTAGCTCGTGAGTTTGAGTCGAGTTGAACTTACTTTTAAAGTTTTCAAATTCGAGTCGAGTTCAGCAATATTCGAGTTTGACTTGCCTCGTTTAACAAACGACGTCGTTTGGTTTAATTTAAAAAATAAAAAAAACAAAATTGGTGATTTTTTTCGGTTTTCAGCCGGTCCGATTCGAACGGTTCAGCGGTTTCGATCGGTTCACTAATGATGATTCAACTGATGTAGATTGAATCGAACTAGACAACAATTTTCGGTTGAACCAATCGATTCGATCCGATTTTCAAAATAATGGCCCAAAACACTATACCAACACTGCCAAAGAAAATGACTTAACGGCTGTTAAGACATGTGGGACAAACACATAACTAGGACAATAGGAATACTAGAAGAATATTTTTTAAGCGAGTAAATAGTTTTTAGATAGTCTAGGATATTAAAAGGTAATATTTGTTTATAATTTTTTATTCTATTAAAAGTGTTTACACATTTTAAATACACAACTGTTCGATCTTAAAATAATCTTTTGCAATGACATAATGATTTCACCAAATGAGGTATGGATAAGATAAAAGAAAAGAAGAAAGAGAGAGTTACCGGTAAGAAGGGATGCAGTATCGAGGTGCGATAGTTGAACCACGACTCCTCCATCCAGAACTATAAAACCCCTTCCCGTTGATTTTCCCCGGAAATTACCAAAACCTCATAAATTCCCTCCACAACTAACGCCAAAAAAAGGTCATATGAACAAAACTATGATTTTCTCTACCATTTCGTCCATTTTTCATCAAAAGTTAAATCATTGGAGATATGAATACTCGATCTGGGAACGACTTCGAAAATTCTTCCCAAACTGCCAAGAACACTCCGTACCCTGATACGTCTTGCAGTCTGCAAGTATACCAAAAGAGAAGCATTATCTTATCACCATGCATCTAGAATCGACACGAATCTATAAGTTCATATGTATTATTTATCTAACACCGTGTCCAACACACATCCGAATCCGGAACATATGTACTCAGTTCATGAAAAATGCTATCCAAGCTAAGGGAAGAAGCTTACTGGAAAGGACCAATAGGAATGCCGAAATTGCTGATGACCCGGTCGATTCTGAACAAGTCGACACCTAAATTGACCAACAAATGTGCAACTTGCGAGTATGGGAAGAATGTCCGGTTGACCGTAAAACTGGTACAATTACCGACCACAACGGGAACTTTCTTTACGACTTTCCCCATTGCCACAAGATCAAGAATGACTTGTGGGGAAGTTTTTTGTGTACGTACAATCTCCAAAAGAGGCATCACATGGGCAGGGCTGACAAATGGGAGAGCCAAATCAAATGAGAATATAAAGAGAAGTCGGACCAAGTAATTATTAATAAAAAGGGAAATGAAGTTGATAACCTGAAAAAGTGAGCTCCTACAACACGATCTGGTGATTTTGTTTTTTCTGCAACTAAATTGAGGTCAATAGTGGATGTGTTTGTCGCCAAAATACAGTGACGAGGGCAGGCCTTGTCTATTTCACTAAATATTTTTTATTTTAAGGGTGCGTTTGGTTCACGGAATGTAAGATTACCAGTGGGAATAAAAGATTACCAGGAAATAGGATTACTGGGAATGTTGTATTTTTGTGTTTGGTTGATTTAGTAGGAATGTAAGATTACCATGTTTGGTTAAAGGAATAAAAGATTATTGGAATGTATATTTAACCAAATTGTCTTTATTATATATTTATTTTTTAAACAAGTTAGAAAATATTTATATATTTTCTTTAAAAATTTAAATTCATAAAATTTATATAATTTTTTTACAAAATTGAAAATATAAAAAGGTTTAATGAAATGGTAAAATTTTATTTTAACCCCTGAACTTCATATAAAATTTTAATTATAGACTTTTTTTGTAAATCTAAAATAGTTTAAGGATAAATTTGTAATTTAACCTTCGTAGAATTTTTATTATTTAATGACAGAATAAGGATATTTTTGAAAGAAATTTTTTTTAAGGACATTTTAGTCTAAAACGCTGGTAATCCAACAATACCTAAAAAAAGTGAGGCAATGACATTACCGGTAATATACTCCAAAAAATCCACTATTGATAATGTAAGATTACTGGGAATGACATTCCCGGCCAACCAAACAGGAGAATGTGAATTTCATTCCCATGAGAATCTCACATTCCCCCAACCAAACACACCCAAAGGAACATTTTCAAGGACATCCTGAAAAGGGGAACAACATTTCATAGCAGAAAACAAAATTGCAATAAGAGATTGACAAATTATGAGAAAGGACATGTCACAAATTCCATAACATAGCTCACCTCAATGACCATGTATACATCTTTAAACTCAGTAATCCAAAACTCCTTTAAGCATTGAGAGAGCTTTTTCCGCCTTATCCTTTGTCAATTTCCCTCTACTAACTAAAGCTCCAACATTTGCTGCCAGAATTACATGCAAACAAAATAACTATTTTAAAACCCAGAATCAGAATAACTTTTTCTTTTATTTGTTTACAAAGGGAAAATCAGAATGCCTTTTCACTGGATATTAAAAGAATGAGAAACTATTATAATCACCTTGAATCTTTTTTATCCCCTTCTGGAGATATTCAGAGTTAACTTCCTTGAGAAGGACAAATATATCGCTCACTGTAAGAGCCGTGGTTATTCCGATCCCATTAGGCCTCCACCAATAATGGCAACTTTCTTTATTTGCCTAGGTTTTAGACCAAGGTCTGTAACATTTGGCACCTGCAAAAGTAAAAAATTCAGGGGAAACTATACAATAGAAGATCCCAATTGGTTTGTGAGACTTCAATAGGTTAGTTTAAAGTTTGATTTCACATAGCTAAAATTTTAAATTATCATATATTTTTTTAATATATTTTCTTTGTATTTTTTATTGATCTGTTTTAGCCCTCTTAAAATTTTATAATTTGAGCCCTCTAATTATTGCTGAGCAATTACCTTTGATGTACCACGCTGGGTAAAGAACGCGTGGACAAGACCTTTTGCAGTGTCTTGAAGTCTTAGCAACTTTGACCTCCTGCATAGATAAATCCATACGTGAAAACATGAATAGGTATAGCAAACTAAATCTTTAGGTGCAACTGAACAGAGATTCTTATGAGACTAAACATAATCACATAGAAGATTAAATGCAAGGGGTCCTAAAAAATACCTTTAAAATTCCATGCCATCCCCCATGAACAATCCCCTCCTCAATTACATCTAGGCAGGCCTGACGAGGCAAATTTGGGGCAGTCCTGGCTTGTCTTGAAATTCTTATCACCTCCTTTGCTTCCGAGACGGGTCCAATCTTGTCCGTTCTGTGAAGAGAAAGTATCCATGGTTTACATTTCTCTGCAATGTCTAACGCTCACCTGTGATAAACTTTCAGTAACTCTTCCGAAGGGACAATAGCATCGATAAGACCTAGTTTCTTTCCTTCTTCAGACATGATTGGTTTCGATGACTGCAATGGCATTATACATATAGTGACGGACGGGATAGATAACAATAAAGAATTAATTACAAGACATTAGAATTTTCGGAAAGCATCCCAGACAGCAAGTACTACCAGCATAATTTCGATAGCCTTTTGCAGCCCGATGAGCCTCGGAAGACGTTGTGTGCCTTTTGGAAGTGCCATATTACAAGAAGTCAGTCAAAGCTTGTGAAGTTGGTTATCATTTCAAACTCAAAATAATTGCACATCTGAACATGTTTATTTTCTCTAAATCACTCTGTTGGCCATACCTCCAAGCCCTGGAATCACCCCAAGTGACAACTCTGGCAAGCCAAGTTGAGCTTTAGGGGCAGCAATACGTCCATGGCAAGTCTGCATAAGAATAACATGGATTAGACAACTGAGCAAATTAACAATCATATGGTGAACTGAATATTCATATGGAAAGAAGAAATAAACAACCGCCAACTCTAAGCCGCCTCCAAGAGCTAATCCTTCAACGGCTGCCACAACAGGTTTCTTGCATTCTGAGAGTATTTTGAAAAACAACATAAGATGAGCTATAAACAACAGTTAAAATAAATACTTACAGTAAGTAAATGGATGAGGAAAGACCTTCAATAGCATTAAGGACAAGATCAACGGACACATCAGGCATCACAGATACATCACCTGTTTAACCATCATTATGCAAATTTCCACTCATTAAATTCCAAATCAGTTAAATTATCCGTACAAGAACAACTGCCGAGAATCTAACCAATTAATCAACTCATACCGGTTTCGTGAACTTTCTGGAAAACATTGATATCAAAACCACCAGAAAACCTTCCTCAATCAAACAAATAAATAGAAATCTATAATAAAGTTTTGAGGTAAACTACGTATTTAGTACCTAAACTATCAATTTTGATCCGTTTTAATACTTCAACTTTCAATTTTTTCAAAATCATACCTAAACTTTAGTTTTTATTTCATTTTAGTACCCACCATTTAAAACCTAAATTATCATTTTTGATTCGTTTTAGCACATAAACTTTCATTTTTTCCTAAAAAATTAAAATTAAATTTTGAACGGGCTACTAAAATAAAAACTAAAATTTTTAATGATGTGGTACTAAAATGAAATAAAAATTAAACTTTAGGTATAGTTTTAAAATAATTGAAAGTTTACTAAAACGACCAAAACTGCCAGTTTAGGTGGTAAAGACGTAATTTACCCTAAAGTTTTGACAAGAGAAAAATCATGAAAGTAGTTTCCATTGAAATGAATGAGAACTCACCGGTTAAAACAACCGCTTTGACATCGTTTCTCCTCGAAGCCTCATCGAACTTCTCTACCAATCCCGCAATTACTGCAACGGTTGAAAAAAGAAGAAGAAAAAAATCAATTCGCCGCGTCAAAAATGAAGAACTAAAAAAGAGAGAGAGAGAAACATAAGCGACTCAGCTTGCAGAGCTTTACCGGGAATAGTCATGGCGTTCACGGGAGGATAGAAGGTGGTGATAACTGCAACGGCGTCGTTTACGAGCTCCATTGTCACTCGTGTTTGCGACATCACTCGTTTGACTTTTCATTAATTTATCTCGCCTCCGTTTTTTTTCTATCGATTTTCCCACGAATATCGGCATGTAACTTGCAGCGTTATTTGCTTTGGGTTGATTTATATAGTCGTTTAGCGGAGAAATTTTGAAGATTTGACTTAATATATATTTAGAGTTGACTTAAAATTAAGGCTTAGTACTAAAAATAAGTACCCAAACTATAACTTATTTTCAGATAGGTACATAAAATACTTTTAATTTATCCATGTGTCTAACGTTACAAGCGTTTCCATTTTAGGTGATCGGATTGTCAACGGCGTTAATTTCTTCCTTAAGTGACTCATGTCATAATTTGGTAATTTTGAATTTTTTTATTTAAAAAATTTAAACTATTTTATTTTTGAAAAAACCCCATTTTTTTCTAAAATATAAAAAAACCCAAAATCTTAAAATCTCTTATTCTAGTCCCTAAAATCCCAAATACTTAATCCTTAAATTTGATTGTGATAATTGACCATTTAGCCGACTGTGGTAGCGGCCATTTGGTCGGTCTTTTAATAAGTCGTTTGGCCTTTGGTGGGGAAGTGGCAGAGGTTTATTTAAAAATAATTTTTAATAATATTTTTATTTTTAAGAAAAATAATTTGGGAATAAGAGTATAGTTTGGGCATTTATTTTGCTATTAAGCCTAGAATGACTTAATACCAAAATTAATAGATTATGACATGTGTCACTTAAAAGAGGAAATTAACGTCGTTGACGACCCGAGCACATAAAATGGTAACGTTAGGTACTAAAATGGTAACGTTTGGTACTAAAATGGTAACACTTGTAATGTTAGGCACCTCAATGAGTTAAAAAGAAGTTTAAGCACTTATTTGAGAATAAGGGTATAATTTGGCACTTATTTTGATATTAAGCCTAAAAATATGTTGAACTATGTTTTATAATATTTTGATATAACAAATTAAGGAAAAATGTTTTTGGACTTGATTGAATTTGTTCAAAGTTTTCAAAAGTTTTAAAAAATAATTCAAAGTCCATTAAACTAGAATTTGAGCTCAAAAATGTTTTTCTAGGTATGTAGTACCGTTACGGGTCTTACAGTATCGATACTATATAAACAGTACCGATAATGTTCATATGGTACCGATACCAAAGGTAAGAGAAATATTGATACTCTCTAGGTAGTATCGAAACTACCAGGTGTTTTCAAATTGCTCAAATTCCAGACTGCAAAATAGGTGCCAATACTCAAAGGGGTACCGATACTACTTTACATATTATCGATCCTAGGCAAGCCAATGGCTAGTTGATTTAAAAATTATAAAGGAAGTACTGATACTCATTAAATGAGTACCGATACTCCCTGTCCTGGGCAGTTTATTTTGCAGAGAATTTATCTCCAACGGCTCCAAAACATCTCCAACGGCTAGAAACGACCACATGTTCATTCCGACACATAAAAACAAGTTAAGGACACATGGAGAAGGGTTAGGACAACACCTATCCAAGTAATCA